ATCATATTAAGTTTGTGGGATGAGTATCAATTGACACAGATTTTGGGTCTGCCGATCTAGAGGCCAACGTTAGTAGCAGAGCAAGGATGAGAAAGTACAAAACAGCTGATAATCATGACCCCCTCAGAAGAACCTGCTCTCTCCGGCCTAGTGTCATGAAATGCGAGCTAAACAACAGCTTGCAGAAGGGGAGGGCCGGCAATAAATGAGCTAGCACAAGGTGAGACCGGCACACCAAACGAGGAGAACATTCATCATCCACAAGGCCCAGAAAGAAAGCGGACTTGAGTGTATTTCTGAATAGAGAGATGCCCCTGAGGTTTTTGTCCTCGACAGAGTTGCCAGTTTTTGATCCTGAAACGAAGGGAAGGGACCCCATTAGTTGCAGAGAGTGAGCGACCCACTGCTATTGGTAAAAGTGATGTAGCAATTCAGTGAGGTGAGCGACTCCTGTTTTACTGTGAGCATGTTTCATGATGCTGAGGCAGAACGGCGAGCGAGGATATTATCATGCATTTTTGGATTCTGAAAGTCTAGTATTCTTTGGGCTCTGAAAGCCTGCCAAAGACAAGGTTTGGCATTGACTTGCGCCCCACTTTTGCACAGAAGGCATGGGCAAAGCCGAGTTTCTTGCATCAGTGATGGATGAGTGGGGGAGAAACCGAGGAATTCAAGAATTCAGAGTAGGGCTGAGGTGAGCTACTGCTATTATCTATCTGCTGGTCAGATCCGAGCCGAGCCCACGTCGGGTATCGATGAGCAACTGGATATTATTTTCACATGTCGAGTGAGGACAGGTCCTGAAAACATCTTGACAAGGCGGGGCAAAATGTTAAGATGTGCGCTGTACATCGCCAAGATCCACCGCGCCAATCTGCTGGAGGCCACGCAATAAATGAGTGTGAGCGGAGGGAGGGAGGAAGGGAGGGAGATGTGCCCTCAGAGAGGGGGAAGCTGCCGAGTGCTGGCTGGTGGGCTCCGTTACCTCCCTCTCGTGTCCTGCGTCCTTCCTGCTGAATGTCGAACCGAACGAGTTCGTACGTACGTACGTTCGACTCGGCTTCGAATGGTCTGCCTGCCTGCCTGCTCGCCTGCTGGCTGGCTACGTTCCAATCGTACTTGCCTTTTGGTAAGCGCTAGTGATTACGCCTTCATCCAATAACCAAATGCTGCAGCAATATTTTAAGAGTTTCCGCTATTTTTAAGCACATGCGACCCTCGAGAAAGTTGCCACATGTCCATGTACATGTCCGTGAGCTCAGCTCTTGAGTGGGCTTAAAGGGTCTAGTGTCTGGGTAGACCGGAGAATAGTGCCAAACCAGTGAAAATGCGAATCCGATCAAAAGCGCTTCTGACAAAGATATGATAGCTTACAGACCTCCCCAAGCGAGCGATTGAACAACATGGGGACATATGAAAGGCTCCCAAAATGGCAGACCGTTGGACTTGGTCCGAGTAAGTCTGGCTCTCTCTCTCTCTCTCTCTCTCTCTCTCGCCCCCTCGAGGCTCGAGATGTGTGTCGGATGCCCCCTCCACCCCCGCCATCATCATCATGCCCATCCCTTGAAATGCTGCAGCAGGCAGGATCTGGAACTCTGCCGTGCTCCAGTAGGACGAGGAGTAATGGAAGGTACACTACTTCAGGCAACTTGAGTGCAGCGCAGTAGGTGATTGTAAAAGCAGTCTGGAGTCTGGACGCAGCAGGGGCAGCGGCAGGGGCAGCACCGCCCTTGCAAAGCAGCAGCAGCAGCGGGTGGGTGGTGACTGCGACGAACTCTTTAGTTTTTGTCCTTCCACCTAGACACTGGGTGGGTGGCTACTGCCAAACGTTCTTTAGGAGTTGTTGTGTTGTCGATAGCCAGATTTGGAGCTCGGTCCATTCTATAGAAGAGAAAGCCCCCCTTTATCAACACGACCCTGCGTGATGGGCCGGAGCTCGGGCGACTCATTCATCTGCTGCTGCTTCCTCAGCAAGCGAGTGAGCATGCTGGTGCTGACCTACGTCCTACACTCTTAGAGGGAGGCACGCAGGCAGGAGGATGGCTACTTGTGAAAGCCTGCCTGCCTCATTCACTGAACTGAATGGGTAACATCTTTAATTTACATTATCTTAGATCTTCACAGATTTGCCCTCGGGGTTTCGAAGCTGCGAAACTTTGCGCATCTAATCGGCTGCACAGTTTTGTTTCGTTTGGAAATCAATGATTGTTTCCGGCACGCTCGCTTCTTCTCTCGAGCCTCTCGAGCCTCTCGAGCCTTCTTATTCATATGGATGAGAGGTCTAGTTTTTACACCTGCACTTGTCGCGGGACATCCAACTGCCTGCCCGCGTGCCCTCTAGTCGATCGATGTCACTGTGTTTCAACGTCGGGATCCTTCTGCTGCGCAATCGAGCTACGTCGTCATCATCTGCTGCCTCAGTGAGGCGTGAAGGACCATGTCGTCCATTGAGATGAAAAACTAGAACGAGGAGGAGAAGCAGGAGGAGGAGAATGGGACAACCGCTTGTTGCATGCACGCTGTGACGGCTTTTACTCGACAATATTTACGTAATGCCTGCAGCACAAACCGAGAAAGTCCTTCCAGTAGTGGATTCACTTGAGTTAGCTCTCTCTGACGCCAAGATTGTCGAGCTCTGAGTCCCGTTATGATCTCAATCTCTTTCGCTCGATTTTCGTGCATGATATCTGGCATTGAGTCGATGAAACAGAGCGAATAACCTGCGCGATCAAAGTTTTGCCTTCCTCCTCCTCCTCCTGGTCCTCCTCCACGTTCTGGCTGGGCTACGTCCGCCTTGGAGCTTCGGGGCTCTACTGCAACAAAGAGTGGTAGTATCCTCTCTTTCTGCACACGGCGAGATTTGCGAAGATCAGGTAATATCTCGTCTGAATATTGCGCTTTCCGGTTGATGAGACACACTTGTTGCCACAGGCTGATTATGGTTTTAAGAGTTCAAGATTCTGTGATCTGATTTCCATGTCTTAATCATACGATTAGCATTTCTTTATGTCTCTTCCGTCCTCCCTCTACGATTGTGAATGACGCCATACAGTGGCCAGGTCGATCCTTTGTCTGTTTGCAGAATTGAAGCATTCTTTTCTCCTGGTAGCCTAGAATCTGTTTTGCTCAACTACCATATCATCCTTATTTCATACGGTGATGGGAAGATTACTCTCGTTCTGAATTTTAAGTTCCTGTATATGTGGCATCTAAGGATCTCTTCTCGTACGATGGAAGGGTTTCGGAGCTGTGTTTTGAACGAAGTACATGTATGACCACAAAAGAGGGAAGACGAAATTTAGGCAGGTTGAGAAAGAAAGGTCGAATGAACCAATTTTTCATCGTCTAAGATTAATTGGGACAATTATTCGCTCTTCTTGCAGCTGAGATCTAATCCTTACAGTTTCTGAAATATGAGGCCAGTACGTTAGAATAATCTTTCGATTGTCTTTGTACAAAAAAATTGAGGCCCGACAGAGCAGCTAAATTTGCGTGAGCTCTGGAGTGCATTTTCAGTGATTTTCGTACATGTTGATTTCAGAGTTCCTCCGTCGTCTTTTCATCCAGTGTCCTTTAAAGACAATGATTCTGAACATGAAGGATACTTTGGCCCCTAGAGCGAAGGGACCTTGAAACTCGTAATCAACTACTCGAAAGTCAGTCCAGGGTAGACACTGCAATAGGATGTATACGGCACCAGTGGGCATTTAGTTATGGGGGGACAGACCGGCACTGGAGCCGCCTCTTCCTCAGGTCTGAAAGCCAGAAAGAGGTTCATCGTAATGGAGAGAAATGCATTAGAACTTTGACAGTGACAGAATTTACGTGCAGTACGGTATAGAGCATTACCGGGACGGCTAAATCCTGGAATGAACCAAGTATTGTCGTTTGCACCATCCTTGACCACCATACACCTGGGCTTTGCACGTCGGCCCCTTTTCAAAGTTCATAAAAAGCGATCGAGCTCTGTTTCTTCAGGAAGATGGTTCCATTGCATAGAATATTGTGTTTCCTCCTGCTAGAAGTTACCTCCGGTGATTTTGAACTCTAGCTGTCCGCACCTTTGGTGCCTTCTCAGCAGGAGATCGAAATGTCAAGCTCCAGGAGTTTGAGTGAAGACATTTGCTCTCGTTCGAGTCATTCGAAATAATGGTCATGAACTCCTCATATGTGGCTCGGAGTCGGTTTTCCTCTAAACCTGCTTGGATGCCCGTGGACGTCCATAGTATTTCCTTCACTTCACTTTATTCACTTCTGCAGGCAGCAGAGATGTCGGATTATGTGCTTCACTTTCTTTTTGAAGCTAGGTCAGGGAACTCATGTAGCCAGCTGCTATTGGGTTGATCTCTATGGCTGTTGACCCTTCCCGCAGAAGAATATCACAAGCTATATTCGCAGAGGAGCAAGGTACTCATTCCTTACCCGGTCTCAGATTTCTTACACCTAAGCCATGAAGTAACTCTACAGGGTCGACGAACGAAAAGATGCAACTTTGCAGAAAGTCAGGATCCGAACAAAAACTAGTCAACGAAAGTTTAGTGCTGTAAGGAACGGAAGGGATTTCATGGCTGCAATTGGGTGCCATCTCGGTCTATTCCTAGAACTCTGACTGCTGGTTTCACGAAGCTGGAGCAAAGCTTCTCTCCGTTTGTTACTCGGAATTCTCGGCAGCATTCTCATATATCTTGACGAAGCCATTCGCGTGAATGGATTATTTCGTCCTGATTCAGCGTCCTCTCTTGTTTCTGCTGATAACTTTCTTCAGTGAGGTCTTGTCGTCTCATGGAGGAAAGGTTCTGCCTGGTCATCATCATTAAAGAGTAGCACCGTCGATCACAAGATGGAAGCATAAATAGATGGATACAGTACTCGACCACCGCTTAATGATTACGTGCAGGATGAGCTTACATCTGTATGTGACTTTGGCCTGCTCACTGCATTGCTTGTTATCTCTGGATCCCAGGCGCATTCGCTGCTACGTACAAAGCGATCTGGAAGGGAACGCCGACCCCAACAGTACATCGTCATGTGAATGAACTTTTGGATTAGTGTTCACGTGCTCGGTTTATGCCGGAATCTTCTCCTCGTTGACATGGCATGCATTTTTGCTTGACTTTCAGACCAAGTAGTCGCTCACCTCCGAAATGCTTTCGACACTTGCGACCCACCCTGAGCTGACAGGGTGTAAATGTTACCCACTCACGGCATGCTACACCTTGATCGAAGATGGTATTAGACAGAGGTTTACTTGTGTCTGGAGGCCGGTTCTTTACTTATTGATTACTGATACATCAGCTGTAACTGGCAATTAGAGAATATAAGGGTGCAATTTTTACATGAAACATCTGCCAAACATGGTTGCAAATCTCGTAGAACAGACTTGTAGTGGTCTGGGTCCGCCTATCTTCTAGCCAGCCCTCACCGAGATGCTGACAGAGAAAAAAACTCTAATACTCGAGACGTGAGCCATTCTGTGGAGCTGGATCGACAGATTGGCCATGGGTGGAGGATCCTAAGCGGCCAAATCTGCATACAATCTGGTGCTTGCCTCTGCCTGAGCCGAGACAGAGCTGTGAACACAAGAAGATTTTCAGTGGCTCAGATTCGTGCCTGTCTATGTACATGGAAGGAGGCCGACGGCGACCGAGGGAGGGGCGGGTGGAACTCGAACTCCTCAAGGCTGCAGAGTCAACTCCTTGATCCGTCTCACGGCATCGGGGAACTTGGAGATCTGGGCCATGGTCTGAGGGTCGGCGGAGAGATTCGACAGAGCCCAGGCCGCCCACGTCTGCACCTGCAGGGCCTTGTCCTTGTACAGCAGGTTGACGAGCGCGGCCAGAGCGTCGGGGAACTCGGCGATCTTGCGATTGCACTGCTCGTCGAGCGCGAGCATGGCCAGAGCGCTGGCGCACCACTTCTGCACGTCGGGGCTCTCGTCCTTGCCCAGCAGCCGGACGAACCGCGGCAGCGCGTAGGGGAAGTCGACGATGTCGCGCCGGTTCTTCTCCTCCACCGACAGATTCGTCAGGGCCCAGGCCGCCCACATCTGCGCCCCGGGGCTCTGATCCTTGAACAGCAGATTCACCAGCCCCGACAGCGCGTACGGGTACTGCGCGATGCGCCGGTTGTTGTGCTCCCCGACGTTGACCGAGAGGTAGGCCAGCGCCGAGGCCGCGCACTGCTGCGCGTGCGGCGCCTCGTCCTTGTTGAGCAGCTTCACGAGCCCGCCGAGCACGCCCGGGAACTCCACCGTCTTGCGCTTAGTCTGCGTCGCGTTGGCGCGCGCGACGATCGCGACGGTCACGGCGGCGTGCGCCTGGAGCTCGGGCGACGCCACGGCGTCGTCCTTGAGGATGCAGCGCACCAGCGCGTCGAGCGCGAACGGGAAGTCGACGATGCGCGCCTTGTTGTCCTCCTCGCTGGCCAGGAAGTTGAAGACACGCGTCGCCAGCGCCTGCTGCGTGTACAGGTTGACGATCTCGGCCTCGGTCTGGAACCGGTTCAGCACGCCCACGAGGCCCTCGAGCACGCCCGGGTGCGCCGCCAGCCGGATGCGCTGGCTGGCCGAGGCCTTGGCCGCCACGTTCACCAGCACTCGCAGCGCCTTCTCGCGCGAGTTCCGGTCCACGCCTTCGCCCAGCAGATGCACCAGCGCCGCCAGCACGCTCTGCTCCTCGGCCCCGACCGTTGCCTGCTCCGTGATCCACCACATCGTCTCCAGCGCCCAGCACGTTGCCGCCGCCGAGCGCGGCATCCGCAGCAGCCGCGCCACGTCCTTGTCCTCCGCTTGCTCATTGCAGATGTACTCCAGCAGCACCTGCGCCAGCCCAATTTCGTCAGATCCCGGAGACATCATCGAGAAATCATCGACATATTCAATCGACAATCTTCGATTTATCCATGAGTTTTTATATGTTATCCGAAAATTAGCGAGAAATTCAATCGAATTTCATCGATTTATCGGCGATTTGTGATAAGCAATCGGGGAATTAGCGAGAAATTCAATCGAGTTTCTTCGATTTATCGATGATTTTTTATAAGGAATCGGGGAATTTTGCAGTGGCGAGCGAGGGATGGGATCGGGGAGGGTACCTTTCTGGCCATGAGGTACGAGGATTGGTCGCTGTGGTTCTGGATGAGCCAGGCCAGGGGCTCGATGGCGAGGCGGCGACGCTCGCTGAAGTTCTTGAAGGAGATGCCCCACTTGGCGGCCGCGCGCTTGGCCAGAGATTTCTCGAAGTAGAGCGCGCAGAGGACTTTGAACAATTTGGCGTCTTCGCTGTCGAGCGCGTCGGTGTCGTCGCCGCCGCTCTCGCCCAGGAACATGGCGGCGAAGGCCTCGGCCTCTTGGCTCATCTCGTGGCGCAGGAACTGCTTTTGCAGCCGGTGCAGCGACCATCTGCGCTGCGTGAGCTGCGAGATGGCGTCGGCCCACGGGAGGACCTGCGTCTCGATGACCACCAGCGACTTCTGCTCCAGGTCGTTGCGGAGCTTATTGAAGGCGGCGCCCCCGAGCAGCTTGGTGCTCTCGCACATGATTCTCAGAACCTCCTCCGGCACCGAGGGCCCCTCGCACATGGCCGCCAGCAGCAGCAGCTTCTGCGCCTCCTCCGGCATCGATCCCACGCACACTTTCATCGACGCCCAGAACGTCCTCGGATACTTCTTGTTCAAGTTCGGCGCCGTCTCCTCCACGTAGTGCAGCAGCTTCAGCACGTCTCTCTCCGCGTCCACCCACTCCTGGATGTCCGACGCCCTCCTCGTGCTGATCGCATTCGCCAGCGTCGCCAGCGCTAAAGGATGCGCCTCCGTCTCGTCGATTAACCTGTCTGCGATTTCCTGAATGTCGCCAAGCACAACAGCAGATCCTTGGTCAGCCCATATCACAACCCACCGCTCTGCTCGAAATCCAAGACCATTCAAGGACCGACTGAGTTTTCGATCGAGCTCGCGATGAGAATCAAGCCTGTCTGCTATTTCTCGCATGCTGTCCACGAGATCAACGATGCCGATCCTAAGCCAGCCAAATTTCACATGGTCTGGTCTACATAGCCCTCGTTTCTCCACAGCGCCTGCCTGCACCGGCTCAGTTCTTGCTCAGCCAGCTCACAGGACAGATGCTGCTGGAAAGTGAGTGTCATAGTAGACCTGGAAGCTAAGGAGCAATTTAACAATTTCCACCATTTTTCGATCAATCCAGTAGAAATCGAGTTCGTGATTTCGAAGAGTTGAGGATTCCTAGGAGGAGCCTGCTCTGGAGAAGAAAAGCACATCCCATCCGAAGTCAAAAATGTGCTCGTTCTCTGGCCCTCATGTCAGCTACTGCCTTGCCTCATTTGTCGAACGCAAGTATGAGATTCGAGCTCGTGCTTGCACTTTCTTAATTCTAAAATCTTCTGAGTGGGTCCAGGAAGAGCGTAGAAGGAGCCCCAGGGAGAGAGACAGAGAGATTGAACTGACCTTGAGATGGAATGGGATGACTTGGCCGGGCAGGCCGACATGGCTGGCGAGGATGCGCCTGGCGTCGTCGGGGCCGACGGTCATCTCGATCATGTAGGAGTCGAGCCACAAGCTCTCGTCCTGCGTGGTCACGAGGCACTTGACGCCTGTGCCGAACAGGTCGACGAAGCTCTGCAGGATGTCGGTGTCGCACACGTCGTCCAGAATGATGAGCACGGCCTTGTCTTTGAGGAGCCCCGCGAGCTGATGGCGGATGGAGACGTCGCCGCCGCGGCCGTAGGTGCCCTGCTCTTCTCCGGGCGAGACCTCGCCCTCGATTCCCATGTCGCGCAGCACCTCGAAGTGCTTGGCCGCGGAGTCGGCCTCAGGGCCGCACTCCACGAAGGCCACATGCTCGAAGCTGAAGCTTTCCTCGCCCGATGCTGCAGGCGCTGGAGCTTTGGCCTTCTCTCTGTAATATGCGGCTATGTTTCTGGCCGCCACTGTCTTGCCTTGGCCTCCGTCGCCATGGAGCAGGATGACTGCGGGTTTCGATGGGTCCTCGAGCGCCTGGCAGACGCCGGACTCGAGCACCTCGTAGTGGACGTGCCGACTGTCCTTGGGCAGGGGAGGTGCCATTTGTTGGATCAGTCTCGGGCTGGCTCTCAGCACTGATCGGGGAATGTCTTCTCGTGGTCGGAATGTTGCGATGAGCCCGTCGAACATGGTGATCACGCCCTGCACGCTCCGGAGCACGGGCTCCGGGAAAGGAATCAAGCTCAGCTTGGGGAAGCAGCCAGAGCAGCGAGCTCTCTTCTGAGTCTTCAATTTGGACACCTCGCTTTCGAGCAGGGATCGAACGTACAGCATCTGGTCGATCAGCTTAGGATCGCAGCTCTCCTGGAGCATCACATGCCTGCTCAGATTGGACACCAAGTCCAAGTGCTTTCTGCGCAGATGCTCGAGCTGCCGAGGAAAGCTTGCCCATGCTCCCGATGGCTTGTACCATTCGCCTCCGAGCGTTTGGATTTTCGATCCCAAAGTGATGATGACTGATCCCATGGAGGTCAGTTCTGATAGCGCCATGTTTCCTCGCGCGAGGAGGTGGTGGTGATATAATCTTCCTCTTTTTCCTTCCTTCCTTGCTTCAGTCACTCCTCCTCCTCGTCTTCTCCTGGCCTGAAGAGCCTGCTGCTTTGTATTGCTCCTTGTCGAAATATTTCATCATTCAGGTCTCTGAGCTAATGGGATATCTTCTTCGTCTCGCATTGAGCTCTCTCCGATACTCCAATACTTTTTCTCGATCAGTTCTGCAGATGGAACTGAATCAGACTCTCATAGGCGATGGCCTCGCTGGCTTGCAAGAAGCAGCAGCAGATGCAGCAGCTTCATATGAGAAAGGATGGAACGCTACAAGTTTGTGGAGATTGATGACGAGAATCCTTGACCATATCTACATATGCCACGGATTTTCTTACCATTACCCGAGGAGGAGATGGAAATCTCTCCTTGCAAATATAACCAACCGTACGAGCTGACCATTCCAATTGTGAGACGAGATTAGCAGCTCATGAATTCCCCTTCAACTCCTCCTGCTCCTGCTCCAATTTGCAAATTATGGAAATTCTATTCACGGCCTTCCATGTGCCCCGATGATGTTGAAGCATTCTGCCTCCACCTGCTCCGTTGCCAGCCCCAAGGGCATGGCACCGAGAGAGAACCCAATGCCGAAAATCTTTTGACTGCAGCTGTGCTCCTTCCCCATCCCATGCACAGCATCGCAGCTCCCATGATCGGCTCTCCCAAAATATCCTCCCAGCCACCTGGGTCCATCATCCGCACAACTCGGTGCTGTGATTTGGATCTCGCAGACCGAAGCAGAAGCAAATGCAGATGTTGCGGGCTCCGTGTTTTGCCCAGAGCTGTGACGAGCACATGATTTGGGAACGCAGAGTCCTTGACCGGTGGCAAATCATTGGCTAGACCACGACCAGACTACGGGAAAGTCGCTAGGTCGAGGGAGGTCGCTGTGCATCAAGTTGTGATAAGGACTAGGCATGGATAGGGTCAACGACGTCGGCTGCATAATAAGCTGCGTTCGTTCCGTGCTCCTCTCTCTGTGTGGGGGCTCTATGTGGGAGCACGGGCCAGTGCTCAGGGAGCTATATTTGCGCCGATGGAAATCTATTTCTGGAGTCCGAATGCCGGCGACAAGCGAATCGGAGCAAGGAAAAGCGTATGCTCCTAACGTGGTTCCATTCTATCTTCGGAGCGGACGAGCTGGCAACCTTGTGCACTTTTCCCGGATAGATACGGATGCAGGGCTCTTTTGTTTTTGCTGTTCGGGTGGAATGTTTTTGTATGGGCTCGGATGTCACCCCCGCCCTCTAACCCAAAAAAATAGACGAACTGTTATTCTTTCGGCCGCAATCGAAACCGAAACTGCATCCGAGGAGGACGACGTGACACGAATTCCGGCGAAGAAACTTGACGTCTCGTGTAGAGTGAGTGAGTGCTCTTGTGGTCTCCTTGGTTAATAGATCACGACCTTCAACGGATTCTTGGGACCGAGAGCGTAAAAGCATCCACAGAAAACACAACGAGAAACGAGCAAGAATCATCCGGTAGTCCTTAGCTCAGTTTCTACAAGTTGCTCAAATATCTGATTGACTGACCTCAAAGACGAAGAAGAGGAAGATGCAGAGTTTGCAACATCTACTCAGGTGACTTGCCATAAGTCTGGTTCTCTTGAAAGTCGGGCAAAAAAAAAATTTGTGGAACTTTGTGCTCTTCTTGAGTATTGAAGCAGAAAGAACGAAGAATCTTTCAATACACTGTACATTTATGATAGAATTTTGTCAACATGTGTTTTTCGAGTAGGATGTTTCTGAGATTTCAATTTGCTCTGCAGTTCGGGTAGATTCTACGATCTTAAGCCCTACTTCCTGCCCCTTCGCATTAAACACAGTTTTTCTTCCTGTGGGATCCAAGCTTATTCATCAGTACATTTCAGGAGAGTAAAGACTTTCGTGATGGTCGAGGAAACAAACCGAGACATGGACCTCAAATGCATTTGAACCCTGTGACAGTGTTCTCAGCACTCAGTCACTTGACTGATAACAAGTCGGCCTGCTTCATCTTTGAACTAGATGCATGTTATAAAACGGTATTCAGACTAGACAGTCATAAACCCAGTAGAAAGGAAACAGCTACATTACAATAGTGGTAGAGTTTTAGGTGGTAAGGTACAGTCTGGATACTTATTGAGACCATACAAGGCATACTTGACGACCTCTAATGCCATGTTTGAACGTCAAGTTCGGGTATTCTCTATTTTATTCTCTCCCTCCTTCGAGGTGCACATTTTTGTTCTCTGTGAATTCTATCAATTTAAACTTCGAGGCGACCTACTAATATAGAATCTTTAGTATCAATCAATGAGAGTTGAGGCCTCAGTGCTCAGCTTTGCAGTCTCCACACATCGTCCTACTAAACCCGTTAGTAGGATATACGCCCATTGGGGCCAGCGCTTTTACGGTTTGAATGAGTTACATACTTGACGGAGTATCTTTGAAAAGATGCAGGAATTACATCAGTAGCATTGGATGAACACCCTAAAAGGAAAAAAAGGATGAGACGAGCTGTTGTGATACGATTTGACGAGAAAGCTCACCTCTGAGTACTAAACAACGAAGAAAAAGGAAGCGAAATGGAGCGTACTGAGAAAGCTATATCCAACCTTGAAATGCTAAAAGAAGTTTGATAAATATGTCCCATTCGGTGTCCAGCGTTACTGGTATTTAGTCGTAGACGTATCACTGCCCCCACCAGATATCTCTGTGCAAACTCTATGGTGGCAATATTAGTCATTTACGATTAAAGAATAGTGACGGTGGAATGCGTTGTGGGTTGATTGAGACTGACATTGAGTCCCTTTCTGATCGGCTCTACGATAGCCTTTATGTCTTTGATGTGAGGAATTTCAAGAAGTAGATGGGCATTGAGAGCCTTGGAACGGGGTGGTGGGGTAGTCTATGAGATCATTCTTAACTGCCGTCCACAACCATGCTTGAGATCACGTGATCACGTCTCGTTGTGGGGAGATGGGGAGTGTTTGGGACGGTTGACAAATATCTGACGAAGTTCTCGCCGATGCCCTAAAGCTTCGTGTGGTATTCACTTTTGGCTCGTGATTCCGCTGCATCGTGTCTTCTCACCCACGACTCCAATCATTTCGTCATACATGCCGGACTACTGTGCCCGTCCTGACTGGCTGGTGCACAAATTATGTTCACGGTTGAACCCGATATGGTTGAGATTTCCAGTCGTCAAAACTTCCCCAATATTCTGCCAATGCCAATCCAGTTCCACATATTTGCAGGATCAACATCATGTACTTGGTGGAATGGTCCACCACCTTCACCAAGGGGATGATTAACCTTAGGTCGTAAGTCGTGAAATATAGCACAAGCAGATAGATTGTCACTAGAGCTATTCATGCCATGAACGGAAAGCTTATAAACACTGCGCTGCAAGTTTCCTGCATATATTGCGGCTAGTCCTGATACCCTTGGTACACGGGCGCAAGCACATATAACCAAGCTTTGCTGCATGCTCTCAGTATAATGTGAGAACCTCGGATAGAGTAATCAACACTTGATCATGAAATAGACACACAACAGTTTGACTTGTAGACAATCAATTCTAGATAAGGCTTGTCGGCTCAGCATGCTTTCACACCAAGTTGGAAGAAGGCAGCAGCAGAAACACGGTCCCTACATACCTTATGAGTTTTATATCCCGCTGGAAATCTATGTTCGTCCCGTCACAGGTGCTGAACATCTGCAGTCTACAAAGCTTCTGTTATGTAGCAGGATGTAAACGCTTGGATGCGTCGAGGGCTTGTAGTGAGGAGCTCCGAAGAACTTTCGAATCGGCGGCTAGTCCGTGTTCCAACCTGGGTTTGGAATCAGTATCGAGACCTAGGATGGCGGATTCGTTCTCAATTGAATCTTTGCAGCACAGGTGCAAAGAGTTCGCCGGGGCATGTTAGTTCTTCCTGCAGCACGCAAACTCTCCTCTCATGCCAGTGACAGTCATGGTCACTCGTTCTTAAACCATCATCTTCTATATCACACATTCGCGTTCACTTGTCAGCTCATAGTGGGAATGGGTTGAGAAAATTCAATCTCTCACAAGCTCTGGATATTTGCGAGAAGTGCAGTTCGTTGGTTTGACGTGCACGAGTGAAAGCTCTTCTGGAAATATTGTGGCTTTTGAGAAGTAGGGGGGGAGTCGAGGGCAGAAAACAATCCACTTTCCAATCCATTCGTTCTCGAGGCCCAAAGACATGTCTAGCATCAATCGAAGTCCTGAGAACGTTCATGTTTCTAATTTGGACTGCTGAAGACAGAGCAACTGAAGAACCTCGTTCTCAGTGACGAGACGAAGTTTTGATTTACGACTGCGCCATGAGAGCTCAGGACAAGCTTCACGTAGGTAAAATACAGATCTCGAGCAGAGAGATAAGCGGGAAGACAGATGGATGTCCCAACTTAATGTCGCATCTCTGAACTCGTGCATGACGTGTATGCTGCACGACTTTGAAGACTTCTTAGCGCTGGTAGTGTCTACACATTCTCCAATCATCGCATTACCCAACCATCCATGCAACCAGAACTGAAGTAACCGGCTCATACGTAACAAATCATCTGAAATCGTATCGCACCGCATTCCAATTGCGAAAAAATGATTGCAACTTTACATTGAAGAAGGACAACGTCACTAAGAGGAGGTCGGAGCTCCTTTGGCTTCGGCACTCCATGAGTGGATATTCTGCACGACCTTCGAACCAAGGGTTCTAGGTGGAAAGAATGGATACTAAAAGACCAGAGAAATCGTGGTGTAAAAAGTGCAGAAAGGGCAGAAAGTAGCTCAAGATAAGCTCTGAGCTTTTGTGTGTAGAAAGAATATACTGAACAAGCAACAGACGATTTGAAGAATCGTCTGGGCAGCTGGCGCAGCTCAGTGTTTCCAGTCTAGTATAAATGTCTATCAAACTGCTGCTTGTAAGAAAATCATGGAGCTGAGAGTAGCAAGCAATGACACGATTCCCAATAAAGGAGACGTCTTCGTGCTAGAGCTCACGAGGGTCCCTTGCGCATCGCAGCCATAGTAAAGATAGGAAGTGACGTTGAGAATGGCAGCACCGCCATTTGTAGTATTCAATGACTGTGTATATATCACAGCCCAACCGCGGGCCATGCGAAGCTCTCCTGTTCCTCCGACGACCGAAATTTCGCGCACGACATCGTCGATCTTGTCGTAGCCCTTGTAGCTCAGAGTGCTTCCTGGAAATGCACTTCCATTGCCAAAAGCAACCGTATACTGGAACTCGAGACCCACACCGCTGCCCAGCATTAAGTCGAACATGTAAAATCCTCTGGCTCTGCCGAGCTCCTTGGAGCTGACACTGGGTCCCTCGGTGATGGAATCGTCGAAAATCGCAATGGCTCCGAACGCATTCGGATTCACTCCTCCGTTGAGTGGACTAACGCCTGGCACGACGGTGATTGCAGTCGCCACTGGTCTCGAGTCCAAATCATCGTGCATGAAGTAGTTCAAAACTGTGCTGTGCTGACTGGAGGGCGTGCAAGCAGGAAGCCGAGGATCAAATTCCGCAGCTACACACCGACAAAGCAGTGCTACGCAGAGCGGCAGAAAGAAGGACTTGCTGAAACCCGTCACCATCGCCCGCTCCATTGATGGGAGAGTACGGAGTTCGATGGCAACGACAACCTCCGACGAAGAACAACAAGGAATCAGTTCATCTCAGCCAGCTGCAACGAAATGTCATTCAGCATTGCGCCGCAATTGGCGCTAGTCTCTCTCTCTGTCTCACAGCGGTGCCTCGCTGAGCTGAAGCCCGACACCGGAGTCAAGCTCGGCCTCCTCCTGTACGGAGTACATCTAGCCAGCGAGCTCATTCACATCGCCGAGCACAAGCTGCCATACATTTCGGAACGAAGCTCGGGAGACGGAAGGCCGCGTAGAGCGGTGAAGTATCCTGACATCAACGACCGCCATAATTCCGGCTAATGAGTTGCGGAACCAAGCGACTGGGGACTCAAGGTCTTTACGTTAATTACCTTTAGAGAGTAGCTGCAGATTTCACCTCCTTGCGAGTAGCAGGGGAGGCCGAGTGGACTCAGTGCACTGTGGAGTGGCGAGTGGGGACTCGGTCTTCACCACTTCTGGGAGCTATGTGGTCTCTGAAGGGCTCGAGGTGAAGGATCATCGGTGGCAACGAGGGCAGTGATCGAACGGCAGCTACTGTATCCAGCTGTAGTGGCAGTCAATGTCGTGCAGAGTTCGTCAGGGTCGCACTGCACTGACAGTTGACGATGTGCTCGCCTGTTTTGACATTCAGGGAGGGAGGGAAGGGGGGCCTCAACCCACAGTGCAGAAGTGTGGACATGAACAGCAGCTTTTACCCTTCATGGCGCCAACGAGGAGTTTTCTTCCGCCGGTGGTGGCAGTCCTTGGAACCGAGCGATTGCACTCAACGATCGCAGATCGTTGACTAGGCTTGTGACTAGAATCCATACAACAGCATTCCCGGTACGCTGATCACAGTGGCACCACTTGGTCCTCTCTGCTCCACTTCCTTTCGAAAGAGCATTGCATTGATCGCACTCAAAAACTGTCACTCCTGTAATTTTTAACACATACTTTGTGCACTACATATAATGACCTGGATCGCATGCCCGTCTACACGTGATAGCGTCATGTCCTGATCACCCTGATTGCAGTCCTACGAGTAAGATCTTAATGTACACATGTCGATCCACTCCAGCTCTCTACTAAGGACCAGATCTGTAGAAGAAGAAACGGTTCAGCACAACGGATTCTGACGAGCACGTCCAACCTATATGATACGGCCTGTAGATCCAGGTCCACAAGAAGTAAATCACTGTCAGATTCACAAATACCTTGCAGCATAGGCTAAGGAGATGTTTCCAATTACAAGCATCAATTTCCTAAGCATGTCCTACGTGTGCCAAAATCAGCATATATGAACAGTCAATACCACCTTAGACATCAGCGAGCTCACATATGAAATATAATCTCCGTGAAATTTCACAGTAGGCTAAAATGAGGAATCATCGAGTCCTCGTATTGATTGACAAGGACTCAATTAGTACTCGTCAATCGATAAAAACATACCAAAAAATTTCACAGGAATAAGTTTTGTTTGTATCAGCCCTTACTAATTGTCTTTAAATACGAAATGACCAAAACTACCATCCTCATTTTTAAGTTTTGTAATCCAACTCCTATAACTGTAGTACTTCGTGAAAGTTTGATCAAACTAAATGATATATTTTTGAAATATTTATCAAAACTTGGTGGAATTGTAAAATTGAGATAATAACTTAGATGGGCATCTCATAAATTGAATCTGATATTTTATTCACATCACATATGAATTATTAAAATCTAAAAATCCGGATATGGAAAAAAATACATATGTTCATGATTATTGAGATATGCTAAGATTGAACTCAAATACGCCATTAATCTGATTAGTTTAACTAAGATTAAGAAATAACTAGGGTTGACTTTTTTTTAAATACCTAGTTATACAAACTCTATACAACACATAACATCTTCACATAAGCTTGTAGACATAGCCTCAATGATCTCTAACGCATGCTTTTCACTATGTATTCATGATTAGGAAGACAATTGCTATTTGAGCAAGTTCTACTGAAACACCACATTAATGTACATTCACAAGTTTCTATTAAAATTTTTTACAATTGAAAATAAGAATATTCTTATGAAACTTTGAGGTAGATTTAATAGCACTTTTTGATGGCAGAGTGTTAGATTTGTAAGCATTCTACAACGACCACTCGTTATTTTCAGCCTCTCTATCACGAGCTCATATCGTTATTGACGTTCAATCTTGTCGTTGCCACAAGACGCAAGATCAATATCGATCATGTGTGAAGTCAAAAATTGACACAATCCTTTAAAAAAACAACATTATCTTTTGGTGTGAAAAGCTCGAGGGGATTACGTGTCACTCAGCGTCAACAACTGCCTGGTTTAAAGAGAAGCTAATTTTAAACCGGCAATCGCGAGCATTGCAACTGTAGTCCAACTCCTTTGTATATCATGTACATCATTGACAATCGGCTAAGATTGATCTCGTCAAATTTGTTTCGTGTGAACCTTTCCTTGAACGGACTATAGTTGATAGTTGCAGGAAGGAAAAAAACAATCAATTTTGTTCAGTGTTAGCCTTTAGGACGTCAAATCCTTTAACTAATTATAGTTGATAGTTGCAAGAAAGGGAAAAAAATAGATATGTTTACTGTAAGACTAGTATGATCACCCATTCGGCCAAGTTTTAACACAACGAGCAAAGATTTAGCCTCAACAGTTTTTACCATTTTGGTTGGAAACATTGGTTGGTTTCTCATTTGGGAAAAAAACAAAGGTTGAACGCTTTTAATTTACGTATTTTTAGCCCGAATAAAATTGCCAATTTGTTTCATATGAGAGGAAAAAGCAAGCTCGGAGTCTACTTCTGATGGTTACCTACACTTGGGACAAGTTTGTACAAGGACAAGTTTGGAGTCAACACAAATGTCGAGGTATGACGAAAAAGTATGTTAGTCAAGAATACGGAAGAGTAACTTTTGGCATTGTCAAACATAATGAACCTAGAGGCCTTGTTCGGTGGAAGATGCAAGCTAAAGTCAAAGATAAAGTCTTCTGCTTTTAGCAAAATGTTGAAATCTAAACCCTCTCAGAGAAGTATGTCCCATAGAGAATTGTGAATTTCCAAACACACATCAATTTGTTTCTTGTGATTTTTTACTTACAAGTAACAAATTATTGTAAGTGTATTATTTATTTATTTATAATTAATATTTAATTGAAAAATAATTCAAACACTTTATAATTTTTTAAATAGATTGTTTTACAATACAATAAATTTCAAAATATTTCAAACTGTTCACAAAGATAAAAAAAACAATTTACATAAATATTATATCACATTGATAACTTTGCTGTGTTGACTTTAAATGGTGACTCTTAAAATCTATCTAATTCATAATTGAAATATTTTCAAAGAAATAAAATAACTCAAAAAATATTGTTTTTATGTTAATTAATTTTATGAATATTACTTCATTTTGATAGGCAACAAACCAGCTACAATGAGATGGAAAATTCTGAACTAGAATTACCAACAAGTGACATCAACACTCAAGTGTACACAAGACAAATACACACAAGTACGCAGTTCACACTGTCATGTACGTCCACAAGCAAATTAAATGAACTTGGGGTAAACAAACGAACGACTTGGGGTTTAAATACCCAAGTCCTATCGACTATAGACGATTATGATTAGAGTGTTACTTTGAATATAGAGTCAATTGCAACAATCTTCCTATTAATTTATGTTGAGGTACTAGTAAACTCTATAATCTATATAATTATTTCGCGGACAGTTTTAGAAAAAAATCTAACACAAGTATTTTCTTTATAACTAGAGTTAACTAGAACTAAATCGTAACCTTAACAAGATAGAGTAATAATATAAAGAGATTATTAGAAAACTCTACCTGTACCTCCCAAGCAAAATCTACATAGTTTCTCAATGTTGTCTGAAAATCTCCAAAGTAATAATTTTGATCAACCCATCAAGTGGATTGAATTTACTATCTATCTTGATTAGTTCAATCTTTTTATCATACACTATTTGTTTAATAAAATGATATTTGATGTCAATGTGTTTCATTTTGCTGTTCATAACCTCATTCGCAGCCAAATGTAAAGTACTATGGCTATCACAATGAATATTTATTGCATTCTATTTCATTCCCATTTTTGTGATAAATCACTTTAACCAAATAGTTTCTTTTGCCGCTTTTGCTGCCACCACATACTCAGCTTCTATTGTAAATTGAGATATACACTTCTGCAAGATAGATCTCCAACTAATGTTTTCACCATCAAGTGTAAACACATAACCAATCGTAGATTTTCTCTGATCCAGATCATGTTTGTGGTTAGCCTCAACATAGCATAACAAGAGTTTAGCATTGTCTAATGAATCATCAAACAGTTTACCATAATCCTTAGTACTCTTTAGATATCTGATAATACATTTCACTACTTTTCAATGAACCTTACTTTGATTTCACATGTACATGCTCATTTTGCCCATCGCTAGAGCAATATCAAGCTTCGTGCACCTATCATTTACATGAGGCTATTCATAGATTGTTCATAGGAAACACATGACATTTTTCCTTTCTGAATGGTATTATCAGTATATTGCATTACGAAAAATCTGAGAGGTGCTACGAAAGTACTCCATACTCCTTTGGAGTCAGTCATGTTGAACTTGTCAAATACAAGTCAAATATACTTGCACTTATTCAACCATAAACTTTTTTCCACCAAATTCCTATGAGTATATATTCCTAAGATACTCTTTGATTTCCCCAAATATTTCATTTTAAATGCAGACTTCAACTGGTTCTTGCATTTGTCAACGTCGGATTCTTTTTTTGCCAAGATGAACATGTCCACTACGTAGAGTACTAGAATAATAAGATTGAAAATCTTATCATTCACCTTCTTTATGTATACACAAGGATCATACGCACTCCGTGAAAAATCTTGTGACGTGAAAAATCTTGAAAAATCTCGTCAAAGCATGTATCCACTACCTAGAAGCTTGCTTCAGAACATAAAGTGATTTCACCAATCTACAAA